ATATATAGTTTTAGTTATTTTAATACATCGAGTTAAACTAAATTTATATTTCAGCCTTGTAGTATAGTTTTAGATTTTATTTTTTATGTTTTTCAGTTGGTGTTTATTTTATTTAATTTCATTTATTTTTAATGGTTTTAATTTCAGTTTTACTTTTAGTTAAATATACTAACCCTTGTCTGACACCACATATAATATTTTAATATTTCAATAATTTAAACCTTGTACTTCAAAACTTAAAACAAGGTTATTATGTAAATATTACCAGTAAAATATTTTAGATTCTGCAATATTTCTTTGTGACGCTAGATAACATGACCATCATATTTTGTTCATATCAGCTCAAATGCTGTTGTCGTTAATAAAGCAAAAGGGTTTCACTCCAAATGCAAAACCATTTTCAAATGTATGCATTAATGTACTTTTTTCAATTCAACAAATTTAAATTAGATTAATTAGTTTTAAGTTCCTTTAAAAAGATCTTTTAACAGATCTTGGGCTTTCATATTTCAATATTTATTTTATACACAAAAAGGCAGGCAAAGTCATAGAATGAGAGATGGCACATGAAGGAAAGGAAATACCCTAATGATGTGTAGTTTGGGCAGCAGGTTGCAGTCGGCGAGCGTGAGGTCCGGTCCATCCAGAAAACTGCGTGTGGACACACCGGGATCATCTACGCTGTTGGCATCTATCTCCTCGGCCAGCGGCATCTGCAAATACTCATCCAACCTCTTCAGAGACTTCAGAAGAGCTTTCTCCAGACCTATATACACACAAACAAACACCAGATCAAAACAGAACTACAGAAGAAAAGAGCACCATTTCACAATCTTCAATAAAACCAATTAAACTCACCCTCATTAGCTTCTTTACGAGGGTTCTTGATGTAGGCAGAAAACTTGGCAAATACATCTATTCCTGCTGTGTTGGATTCTGGATGCTTTGCTGCCAACTTTGGGTATCTTAAAAAAATGTACCAGGGTTAATGAATGTAATAAGGATCTGAGGCAATGGCAGGTGAAGCGATAGTAAGTACCGTGGTGGGACCAGTCGTTCCTCGAGAAACTCCTCGATCTTGTTGACGTCCACCAGCACCTCTCCGTTGAAGGTCATGAATGGAGGGTTGGTTCCTGGAGCGAGATCCTGCAGATCCGCCGGCTTTCTGTGTGACACGGACCAACAAACCTGCCATCACCAGTGTTGCTATTGCTAACTAAAACTACAGCAGAGATGCTCAAATCCAGGGCATGTGGGCCAAAGTTGGACGACATTTGATTTGGCCCACCATACCATATCACAAGAAAATATTAAGAATAAATAAAAAATATTTATTCACATATTTTATTATTGTGTAAAAATATATTTACATTTCTGTCTAATTATTTATGCACTTTTCATGTAATATATTTTAATATAATATAGCTGGATATAGTGTAACATTACCCTTCATATTGAAAAGTTTGGGAACCTCTGAAAATATTTTTCATAAATTGAAATAAAATTAAACAAAACAAATATAAATATAATTATTAGATGAAAAATATAAAGTGGCAACTAACTGAAATAAATTAAGTTTATAAATTTAAATACTAAAATTACGAAAACTAAAACAAAAAAATGCTAAATACACACACACACACAC